TTTCACATAATTAATTTTAGAATGATGCTTATTTTGGCAGGATGTGATGCAAACAACTTTTGATGTGACCTTGAAACTATTGAGGGATACAAGACTGAGGTAAAAATTATGCTAAGCAGAGGTTATAATAGTGTGATGTAAAGTAAAGTTATTGTGTGATAGAAGAAACCTATTATGTGAAGGCGTAATGTATAAAGACAGTGGTTCCCCTATGGGGACAAATGCAGTTAGCACACTTGTGACATTAGAATTTCCGACTGACTGACTGCATGACTGACTGCACAGCTGACTGACTGCACGTCTGACTGACTGCACGTCTGACTGACTGCACAACTGACTGACTGCACAACTGACTGACTGCACAACTGACTGACTGCACAACTGACTGACTGACTGACTGACTGCACAACTGACTGCACGATTGACAGACTGACTGACTGCACAACTGACTGACTGCACAACTGACTGCACGACTGACTGACTGACTGACTGACTGCACGACTGACTGACTGCACAACTGACTGACTGCACAACTGACTGACTGCACAACTGACTGCACGATTGACAGACTGACTGCACAACTGACTGACTGACTGACTGACTGACTGCACAACTGACTGCACGATTGACAGACTGACTGACTGCACAACTGACTGCACGACTGACTGACTGAATTACAAAATAAAGTAGCAGACGACACACATGTACCAAAAACACATCTAACAAGCAGCCTCTCAGCTGAGATAGCTCCGCTGTTAGAAATGCACATTTCAATTAAAGAACAGAAGATATCATTAGAAAATGAACAATATGTATAGTATCAAAGCAATCGGACTTACAGTTTTTAACAAGAAGTCGAAAATATCACTTTCTACCAAAAATGACAAAAATATTCACCAAAATTAGAGAATTGAAGATATCATCACGAAATGAACAAATCTGAGAAAGGGTTACATGTAGTAATTAGTATCTATATATGTAATATCAAAGCAATTGAACTTTTGGTTTTTAAGAAGAAGTCGAAAATATCACTTTTTGCCAAAAATGACAAAATATTCACCAAAGATATCATCACAAAATGAACAAATCTGAGAAAGGTCTACATGTAGTATCTAAATATGTAATATCAAAGCAATTGAACTATTGGTTTTTAACAAGAAGTCGAAAATATCACTTTTT